TGTCCTTGGGTAAATATAGAGGATTTCAGTAGCTCAAACAGTGTCCTCGGGACAGAGTCTCTCACTCACCCACTCTCTCAGTGATGTTTTTTTCTGAGTGGCTCAACTCTGAGGCAGAAACACTTCCTCTTAATTTCAAGTTGGCACTGACAATTTCAGACTTGCATGCTAGCCCCAATGGAGGAGAGGTTCTCTCAAACATTCTCCTAAGTCCTTCAATTGGATTTTGCTGCTTCTGGTTGTGCTGATGGCTCATTTCTGACCTATGAGCTATGGCCAATAGGATGGGATACTTTGAGCGACTAGCCGTAGTTACATGACAATGCCTGGCATTGAGGTAGAAGTCACATATGTTAAGTGTTTCTTTGAAAATTTAGAAAACTTTTACTAGAAAAATAGATAGATGATACTTAAAAATAAAATCAGCCAACATTCACCAATCCTTCCAAAACATGATGCCATTGCTAAAGGATCCTCATTCTTTTATCAAAATTTTAACTTGTTAGAATAACAGACCATGACCCACTCATCTTCTTCATCACCTCACAAAACCATCTCTCTAGTCATATAAATTACCATAATGTAGAACATTTTTGTATCTGAATCTATTTACACATGATCCTCCCTGTGTAGAGAATATCTTTTTTGTACCTCTGTTTCTACAACTCGTGATTTCCCACCTTCTCCTGTAAGGCTTCCTCCGACTTTCTAAGGTTTTATTGAGTATCTTTCCATTGTCTTATTATAGTCCTTAAGCACAAATATCTCAACTCTAACACCTAATAAATAGCATCTAAAAATAAGACTTTTCTGTTCATTCTACTAGACTCTAAGTTCTTTGGCTGAAAAACTGAGCCTTTTTTTTAAGACTTATCACAAATCCTAACACATATTGCACATGTAAAATATATCTTTCCTGTCTATGGACTAAGGATAATGATATTTCACTTAAAAGAAGAATCTTGGGAAAATTAATTCTATATAAGATAATCTAACATATTTGCATTGCTCCCAATATTTTAAAGTATAACCTCTGTTGGACAAGAGGGAAAATCCCCCTCTGCCCTTTCCCTAAGGTTCTTATAGATGGCCAAGTAATTAAAAGACAGGTTAGCAGGAGAAAATAATACCAAGTTTAATAACATGTATATGTGGGAGAAACCAGGGAAACTGTGTTTCTCAATACAGTGGCAGAGATTCTCATCTTAAATACCATCTTCAGCTAAAGACAAAGGAAGATTTTGGGGGTGCAGAGGTAGACAGAAGGGAGATAGAAATTACAGTAATCAAGGGTATGCAGATTTAAGCCCTCTCCTTCTGTACTGATAAGAGTTTCCACAGATAAGGCCAATCCCCCCCTCTTCCTAATACAGAGAGGGAGATGCCTTTACAAATGGAGATTTCCCTTATAAATGTAAATGTTTGTCTGGCAACTCTTTGCAGGGCCACCTAGAGAATGTGGCCTGGGAGAGAGAGAATTTTTGATAAGATGGGCTTGTTGGTGCCTTTCCTATTGTAGCATCTATTTTACATGATATTACAGCCATCATATAATACTAACTCCTTCCTGAAACAGGCCTTCTATGTTAAATTATTTAGGCAGTTTGGGGGAGGTCAAATGTCCATCAGAGAAAATAATCAAGGTCAAGAGATATATTTCAGGATGGCCAATTTTGATCTGCCACACCTTCAATCCCTGTCATTATACTAGGTCATTTTAATTCATTCTGGGTCTGCAGAATTTGGAAGATTAGAAGATGCTAGGCATTATATATAATCACCTACTACTATGTTCCAGAGTTGTTCTAGGATTTCCGGAACATGTAACTTCATTTAAACTTTATAACAGAATTGTTAAAGAAGCATAATTACCCACATTTTTCTGACAAAGAATGAATAGGTTGGGATGAGAGGAGTGTGAGATGCTTACTTACACAGAGAGTATTTTGAATTCCAGCTCCATTGCTATTAGTTGCAATGACTGTGCAAGTTATTTAACAATTCTAAGCCTCACTTCCCTTATCTGTGAAATAGACATTAGAATAGTACCTATTCAATAGGTTATTATAGGGACTGAGAGAATTCTGATGAAGTGCTTATCAGTGTGTGTCACATAGTAAATCCTCAATAAATTTAGCCACTCTTATGAATAGATGAATGAAGTGACCTTTTCAGGACACAACTTGTAAGTGACAGAATTAATATTCAAACCCCAGCCTTTCTGATTGTAAACCTTTGCTCCTAATTGGTAGGTTACATTGTTTCTTATTTAAAATGCAGAAACTACAGGGCGCCAACCCAGTGGCTCAAGTGGTTAAGTGCACATGCTCTGCTGTGGTGGCCTGGGGATCGCCGGTTTGGATCCCAGGCATGCACCAACGCACCGCTTGTCAAGCCACACTGTGGCAGTGTCCCATATAAAGTAGAGGAAGAGGGGCATGGATGTTAGCCCAGAGCCAGTCTTCTTCAGCAAAAAGAGGAGGATTGGCAGATGTTAGTTCAGGGCCCATCTTCCTCACACAAAAAATATATATATATATAAATAAATAAAATGCAGAAACTACAAGCAAGAGTCATACTTGAAATTTACGGCAGGGCGAATAGACTATCACGGTATATAATGTGTTGACCAATGCTTAGTTGACATCTAACACCTTCATTATCAGTAAATTCCTTTCCAGGTAAGAGTTGACAACTAACTGGAAACAAACAAACAAAAAAAGTCATAAATAGAATAGCTGCTTAGATAACCAGTAAGAAAAACTATGTGGAATTCTGAGGATTTAAGCCTGAGGAAAAGGAAAGAGATAAAAGGGAGAAGAAAAGTTGCCAAATAAAGATTATTTTCCTCATTATCTTTATAATTGTGTCAGTGGCTGGCCCTAGAATGCTGGGATTTGCATCCCCATTAGGAAACATCCCAACAGCCTGCTCTGTATAAACACATCTGAACACCTAGCTGTCACCTGATTTACCACCTGAATATGCACAAAACCTTTCACTAAGAATTTTGATGCCATTTGCCAAAAGTCCTTGCATCTCTCATACTTATATTTCTCCCTGATAAGAATTCAAGTCTCCTATAGACATGGTACTGAAAAGGAGTCTGGAAACTCTGGCGCTTCTCTTGTAATGCAGAAGCAATGCTAAATAATGGCCTTCACCAGGTTGTTTTTCATCTGTTACCAAAGTATAACATATCATTGAGATGCATATGAGGCACTTGAGGTTATTGAAAATGTAATCAACGTTCTCTTGCCCCTGGCCTCCCACAGAAGCAGAGCGCAGCAAACCTGCCTCTGGGAGACACAAATACAACTCAAGGGAAGGCTTAAAAATAGTTTTATTTACGTAAAGTTATTATAGCTTATTTCATTTGCTACTGAAACATCATCTGTTTCATATCTTTCTCACTTCTGGTTGCTCTGAGTACAAATTAATTCCCCGTGGATAAGGGCTGATGTTATTTAATACTGAGCACCTATTAATAAATCACATTAGGATACGTAATTAATTATCTAACTCATTTGGGGGGTAATAAAATTATCTACTTTTAAATATCCTTTGGGAAAATATGAATATAACCCAACCACATTTTTAATGGCCCTCAGCATTAGCTGCAATCATTTAAAAGTTCTGATTTTTTCCCTATATCATACAAGTGAAAGGCTTTTTTTAATCTGAATACTTTATGAATATATGATTTAGGGCTTTAGCTGAGTTATCAAAAAAAGGGACGACCTGACTAAGTTGAGAAGCTGGAATGAGAGTATCTTGATTGTATATTCAAAGTTGTCAACTATGATTGTTAGGTAGCTGCTTCTTATTAGATGCTGGGTTTAACTTGCTAAATATGAGTGAAATGAATGGGCTATCCTACCTTTAATCATGAGCAAAACTGTTGCTTATTCTGTCCTCAAAACAGTAATGCTCTGCATTGTACATAAAAATCCATGAGTAGAATGCAATTTTGCAAATAAAGTAGAAAATCACTTGATCTGAGTTTCTTAGTTGCTGCTTTTAATCCTTAGTAACAGCTCCTCCTGGATTCTACTACCCCCTCTTCTACTCAACTTTCTAAATTTTACCATAAACCTCTACCATTGTTGCATGCTGAAAGAACTCCAAGCTGGCAAGAGCTCCTGGGGAAATTAAACATGACAGGTACTGTGAAATTAAAAACTGACAGGTGCTGTGAGTCATTAGAAACTAATGGGCATTCTCCCAGGTGTAATGGCAGAACTAAAAAGAATGAAAGGTATAAGAATAAGGCAAGAGTAAGTTGTGAAATATAATGGGCAGACCACAATAACAATAGTATTAGCTTCTTACCACACGCCATTTGCTTGAGTATCATTAATCTTCCCCAAACACAGCAAACTCAAGAGTATTACCTTCATTTCTCAGTGAAGAGAAGAACTTAAACAAACACTCCATGAGATGATGTATCTAGCCTGGCACTAACCTAACCAACCTCTGATGGTGCAAGAATTGAATATTAGATCTCTCTAACTCCAAAGCCCAAGTTTTTTCCATTGTATCAGACTCTTAACTGTTAAGCTGTGTGATTCTAAGGGTTGAAGGAAGCAGAAACTGTTCAGGGAAGGCCAGCTTCATTGTAGATTGAAGTAGTCAAAGAAAGGAAGGGAATAATTGAGAAATGGGTCTCAAACCGTGGTCAGAGTTTAAATACGTTAAATGGATATTTTCTAGCAAATCATTTTAATTTCTTTTTTATTCCTTTTACTATATTTATAGTTACTTTCCTAATGACAGAACACCTTAATTTATAACAATCTAATTTAAATTAATTCCACCTTAATTTCAATGGTATACAAAAACTTTTCCCCTAAATAGCTATATTCCCTTCCCCCTCCTTTGTGCATTATCACTGTTGTTATATATATCCTTAACTTTGTATGCCCATCAACACAAACTTATAATTATTACTTTATGCTGTTTTCTTTTAAATTTGATAGGAGAACAAAAAGAATTACAAACAAAAATACATATATACTGTCTTTTATATATTTATACTGCATTTACTTATATAGTTAGCTTTACCATAGATCTTTATTATTTCATGGGAATTCAAGTTACCATCTAGTGTCCCTTCATTTCAGGACTCCCTTTAGTATTTCTTGTAAGGTAGGTTCACTAGTGATGAATATTCTGTTTTTCTTTATCTGGGAAAGTCTTAAATTATCTTTCTTTTTGGAAGGATAATTTGAGAGAGAGAAAATTCTTGGTTGACAATTTTTCTTTTAGCAGTTTGAATATGACATCCCACAGCTTCCTGGCTTCCACGGTTTCTGGTGAGAAATTAGCAGTTAATCTTATTGAGAATAACTTGTATATGATAAATCACTTTTTTCTTGCTGCTTTCAAAATTTTCTATCTTAATTTTTAGCTTTAGACAGTTTGCTTATATGTCTACATGTGGATATCTTTGAGTTTATACTACTTGGAGTGTTGAGTGTTGAATATATGTATAATATTTTTCATCAAATTTGGGAAATTTTTGGACTTTCTTTCTTTAAATATTCTTTCTACCTGTTCCTGTCTCTCTTCTCTCCTTGGGCTCCCATTATATACTTGTTGCTATGCTCAATGGTGTCTAGCATAATTTTAAAGCTCTGTTTTGTTCATTTTTCTTCACTCTTTTTCTTTTTTTTATTTTTATTTTTTTTTAATTTTTTGTTTATTGCAGTAACATTGGTTTATAACATTGTAAAAATTTCAGGTGTACATCATTGTACTTCTATTTC